CAATTCAAAAATGTCTGGAGTGTGTGGCGTTCCAAGCTTTATAGATCTGCATGAGAGTCCTCATGATGTACCGGTCGGATTCAGCTGCAGGGTTCTGTTCTTGGGATGGACCTGCTTCTCTCTGAGGGTCCTGTTGGGTTTAAAATACTGGGATGTTGCGTTTGGAGAAAATCTTTCTGAGTTTTTCAGATCCTCAAGCAACATAAGTTGGGCCTTTTCAACAAAACTGAAAACTTTCTCTGTCTGGGTTTTGGGTAGAAGAGCAGACGGCTTCTGGCAAGTCTGATCGATTTTGTGTGAGAGAGCTTTAATGGTGACGTGGATCTGTCTTATCCGCTCACTGTTCTGGGCTTTGGCTATCTTCTGCTCTATGTCACTTGATGGTGGAGTTGATTCTTATGCTGTTGTGGATGAGTCTGTTGTCTGCATCTCAAACTGAAACAGAGATGGTTCCTGTGATCTGTGAGTTTCCTTGCGTAAAGGCGAGCAGTTCCAGTCTAATCTGCAGGTACATAACGCAGCATCTCATGCAGATCTATAAAGCTTGGAACTCCAGACCTTTTTTAATTGATAAATCCTCCTAGATGGGAAGCAAAGTCAGTCTCCCCACCATCACAGACATCTCCAGATGCAAGAAGAGGGCACCTGCATCATGAAGGACCCCACACACCCAGCACACACTTTTTGCCACTCCCCTCAGGAAGGAGGTTGAAGAGCATTAAGTGTAGAACCACTAGGAACAGCTTCTACTTTGAAGCTGTTAGACTCATAAATCCAGAAAAATCACGGTAATGACACTTCAATTGGTGATATGTGGCTTATCTGTGCTGCTGCTGATCTCATGCTGCTGATTATCTCATGCTGCTGTATTCATTCATACCCATCTGCTCACCACACAGACTCATGTTCGGGCTGCTGTTGTTGCGCCGTATTGTTTTACATTATTAGTGTTTAGTGTATATCTTGGGTTCTTATATACAGTTTATTTTTATACTTTATATTTTTACTATGTTTGGATGTAACTGGGACCGAGTACATAATTTCCATCACCGCATGTGACGGAGATGGCAATAAAATTGACTTGAACTTGATGTTTTCAGCTTCAGAACAGAAGTCCAGTTGTTTTTGTTTTTTATCCATTTCTTATTCTTTTTTTTTTATGGATCGTGACCTGAATGATTTAAAATATTTACCAGGTTAGAAAATATGTTTTTGTTGTTGTTTCCAGTCAGAGTTTGAGTTTTATTTTATTTTTTGTACCACAGTCAGAGCAGCAGGTTGTGATGCTCACTGAAACCTTGTCAACAGGTTGTTGGGGTTTTTTTGGGGTTTTTTTTTGCTGATCCAGACAACCAAGTAGTTACTTGGCCAGAGTCCATCAGCAAAAGTCTGGCCAGTGTTGCTGCAGAGGCACAATCTTGAGTGATTGACATTTATTCTCCTGGAGAGGTGTCTCCTGCGCTGAGCTGACTGATGGCTCTTTTTCCCTGTGTTTCACTCAGCCATTACTTTGTGCTGACATGCAGGGAGGAAAAGATATTTCTTAGCCTTATTTCTGAACAATGGACCACACGGTTTCTGTTGGTTCACAAGCTAAGTGAGATGCCTTCAAAACACAGAAATGAGAAATATGACTTTGTTTTTGATTCATTGAGGCAACACATGACAAAAATATATTGACATTGTGCACAATATGGAAGGAGATTTCCAGCAAATGATGCGTAAGCACAGTTTTATAGTGCATTCAGATCAATCTCCTCGTGACCTTTAGTCTTTACATTTCAGGCCTGACTGCAGCCCTGATCCATCTTAAGAAGACGAGTGAAGAACACAGGTGTTCATTAAACCTGTGGAAAAACTCAATGTTCAGTAAATAAGACGTCATTATTAGGACAAAATAATTATCTCACATATAAGCTACCTTTTTTCCCCCCAGCTTTATTTTTTCAAATGTTTTCCCCCCTCTTCGTTACATCATTGCCATTAACAGCAGACATTTGCTAACTCACAAATTACTGGAATGCAGGCAACGTTCCTGGAAATGTTTAATGTCAGATGAGAGCTGCAGTTCAGTTCAGTAGCTGTCGAGTTAAAATACCGAAGCACTTATCAAATCACAGCTCCGCAATTTGTGTTGCTCATGGTTTTCCCAGAACAGCAGCATCACTGATGTTCCTCAAGATCAATACAGAGTGATTATGCAGTTTTTTTCTTCTGCCAAACACAGCGTTTGAGAGAAGAAGTCAAACCTCAAGTCCATGTAATTACTGTTGTTTAAACGACTGACGTCTCTAACGTTAATACAAGGAGTCATTATTTCGGGGCTAAATATATTTCCTTTAGCAGAGACGATCTCTTTTTTTTAAACTCCACTAAAAGGGGACCGTGCAAACGAACCTTATGCACTGTCCTGAAAAGAATCCCTTATAATTATAGAAAATGTGTCTATTTGATACATTTTTCTCTACAAATAAGACATCAACTCTAGAGCTGAAAGGGTTTAACAGACATGCTTTCAAATAAACATTTACAACATATTAATGTTTAATCTTCTATAACAGGTACAAACGAATGCCACAAACAATTTAGTTCATTTTGTGGGGAAATATGTTTAATCAGTGGGATTCAAAAAGGAATGGGCACTTCTAGTCAAAATCTGTTTCTTACAATGATTAAATTTATGGAAATTCATATTTTCTCTAAAAGATAAAATAAAGTTTAAGTCATATGAGTGTGTTATTGGTGAGCGTATAAGAAAATTGATAATGCTGGTGAGTGGGAGGCTCTGCATGTTTTTTTTTGTTTGTTCACCCTGTGATGGACGGGCAATCTGTCCATCACTGCTCCACCATCTGCCCCCGTGACCCGGACTAAACGAGCGAGCGACATGTTTTCTACCAACTCAGAACAACAGCAAATATGCACTGTGCAGTTTTATTCATATCAGGGTTTTGCTTTTGGTTTAATTGAACATGTTTGTCAGTTTTGCTGGATGCTTTGTTCCTTATGTCGTTCTGTTAGAAAAATCCAGATTGCAAAGACTGTTTGAATAATTAGAAACCAGGATTGTCCAAATGAATTTTCTCCAGCTGTCAAGTCCTTTGTTAAAATCCAAGTAAATCACTCATAATATTAATTGGTGAGCCAGCTGGCAGTATGTTATTTTAAGTGTTTCACATCAGCACCTTGCTGCTAATTAACTTGTATGGATTTAGTCTCACATGACATCCCTCTCTACTTCCAAACACCCTTTGCTTTCTGCTTAGTTCTTTGTCTTCATCTCCATTTGAGGTCCAACATGAACCAAAATACGTCCAAAACAAATGAATCTTGATTTTCTCGCAGTAATTAGGCTTCCAGTGGTCATGCAGCTCCTCCAAGCAGGTTTGATTTTCAAGCTCACAAAGTGATAAAGGAGGCTTTAGGAGAAAAAAACAGCCTGAGCTGTTTGCAGATGATCCCTGGGATTAACCTAAACAGATATCCTCTCTATCATAAGGCAAGCTCTTTTAGTGCTTTCTTTTATTTGCAGATGTGACTGCATGATCTCTGAGATCAGATGTGACAGTGTGCAGACCAAACACACTGAAAGAAAACGAGTTAGAAAGATTATAGTAAAAACTGCATAACGTCTCATGAAGTGTCATCGGTGGATTTTCTACATGTTCAACAGTAATCTGAAGGTGTGGGCAGAAAAAGGACTGGCTGAGTTCATGTGGCTGAAACAGATGACGGCTGCATGTCATCCAGGAGTCTCTCAGTAATGAGGTTTCTGCAGTCAGGACACACGTGTTGGGAACTGAATTTCAAAGACATCAGCGGCACCTCTGCAGGCCCGAGTCTTTTCTGACCTCAGCCTCTCCAATCTCATAGCGACCAAGTCTTGTTTTTAGGATTTCAGAGATCCATGAGGCTGCATGAGGGTTGCGGATTTAACAAACCAACAAATTCACAGAGGAGAAACCCATCAGAGCTGTGAAAATCCATTGCACACACATAAGAGGAAAATTGCATTTCTGCTGAACCTTGCTACCAAATCAATGAAGTAGTCTTCCTCAAGTTTAAAGCCTCAGACAAAAATGTTACTGATGAAATCTTTAAGACAAGTTGGACAGTTACTACCAAACCATAACTTGGCTCAATGTCTGTAAAACATTAGTTTTTGTATTTTCTGAGGTCAGATGGCTGTGGCGGCCATCTTTAATGGGGCTGACTCCATAAATTAATTACCGTATTTTTCAGACTATAAGGCGCACTTTAAATCCTTTAATTTTCTCAAAAATCGTCAGAGCCTTATAATCCAGAGCGCCTTATGTATTAATTCTGGTTGTGCTTACTGACCTCGAACTGATTTTATGCGGTACAACTGAATGTTGAATTATTGTGAATGAACTGAATAAAGTTTGACTTATCCGACAGTTTTGTTTCGCTTAATGCGCCTTATAATCCGAACAATATGGTAGTCATAGCCGTACATCAAGTTGTTGCTTATTTTTGGAAAGTTTTATTAAAATCCATTCTGTGATTTATGACACATTACTCTAACAGTCAAATGAATATACACTTAAAAAAATAATAATTTTTTGTTTCTACAAAAACACATTTACCGTCTTCACTGTTAAAAATTTTAATGGGAGTAGTGAAATTTCTTATCTTTTAGCAAATTAGCCTACTTTATCTTCACTAAAAGAACCATAATGACATATTCCCTTTTTCATTGTACACAAACAAATATTTAGTCAAGTTCTCTGAAAGCAAATATTTCCAACATTTGGCCAGAAGGTGGCAGAATTTGTTTCAATACAAATTGAGCCAAATTTACAGATGAGCATTACAAAATATTTTTATACATATTACATTTGTAGATTGATACTTTTCAGAGCAAAGATACTGATAAAATATTAACTGTGTGTGCTGTGTGTTATTTTTCATAGAAATCATTTCAATTTGGACAAAATTGATTTTTTTATTTTTTTTATTTAAAAATTCTTAAAATCTAACATGTAAACAAAGCAAAACCAGCATAAGATAAGAGAGAACACCACTGATGCTTTAGTAAAGCAATTAAAAATCATCAAGTAACATTTTCAGGTAGTTATTCACAGATGGTGTTTTGTATCTTTCTAGGAACTAATTGTTCCCTGAAAGGCTCATCTTCACCGGTTAAAGGTTTTCAGGTACTTCAGAGGAAGAAACCTCAGCTTCGAGGACACCCAGCAGATGTTTCACTCCTTCTCTGGATGCTAACAAAGACAATGAGAGAAGACAGGAAAATAACCGTTGAGATCAATGCTGAAAAAGACTAAAATCTGACATCGGGTTGCAGTTAATGGCCTCCAGTGATTTATCTGAAAATGAGTAGAAAAGGAAGCAGGATCTACAGAATTAATCATCTGCTTTTGATGAACTTAAGTGGGATGGCAGTTTATGATTACAGCGAGTCAAAAGCAAATCAGCAGAAAATTCTATTAAGCTGAACACATGAACTGCGTTAAAAGTTCACCGACCTACTGGACAACTTTAGATGATTAACTAACCTCAAGGTTTGTGATGTGAAACTAACCCCCTGATAAAGGACACTTGGCTTGCTGTCATACCTAGCTAAGTTTTACACATCATAAAAACTGGCTTTTTTTCTGGGAGCACAGAGTCATTAAAGATATTTATCTCCATTTAATTTCCATTTACTAGACGGGCAGCAGAGGGGACACAGAAACAATATGTGCAAGCTGGGGAGACGAGGCGCAGGCTGCAGTGCAGAACAATTCAACTCAGTTTATTTATATATAGCTCCAAGTCACAACAGAAGTCATCTCAGGGCACTGAACAGAAACATTCATATATATAAAAAAATAATAATTTAACTATTTATCTGAGGAGCAGACTGCTTTGAGAGTAACTCCATCGCAGAACTCTCCTCTTGAGCAAGCACGAAGGCGACAGTAGAAAGGAAAAACACTCATGAGGAAGAAACCTTTAGCAGAACCAGTCTCAGGACAAGCGACCATCTGCTTCAACCAGCTGGGTTTAAGAGGAACATGAAGGAGGAACAGATACACAATGGCAGGTCAAGAATCATGTTAAGATAGAAATAATACCGAATGAAAACTATTTAATTTCAACAATTTGTTTAAAAGGAAATGAGGTAAATTTGTCCTCTGGTAGTCTAAGCCTATTGCAGCATAACAATCCAACCTTAACTATAGGATTTATCAAAAAGGAAAGTCTTAAGTCCAGTCTTAAAACTGGACAATGTGTCAGCCTCACGGACAGAAACTGGAAGTTGGTTCTACAAGAGAGGAGCCTGATAACTGAAAGATCTTCCTCCCATTCTGCTTTTGGAAACTCTAGGAACCACGAGTAAGCCTGCAGTCTGAGAGCGAAGTGCTCTGCTGGGAAAATATGGAACCATAAGATCTCAAATATAATACGGAGCTAGGTTGTTGAGGGCTTTGTAGGTTAGAAGCAAGATTTTGAATTCAAGGTTACAGGAAACCGAGTTTTGGGAAACTGACTTCCTTCCAAATGGTAACACCTTCAACTGCTGCTAACAAGTGGTGAAAAATACAAACCGGCCCACTAAATTCCAGGAAATATATTTTAATGCGTCAGAAACTCAACCAAAACTAGTCTTTAAAGAGCTGTGGGACTCCAGTAGTTTCATTCTGTTGTATCCGTGGAGCCTTAAGGTCTGAAACATTTGAGTAGAGACATGAACAGAAACACACAGAGATAAGCAAAGCCTGAAACTGGAAACATACTGCCAAGTGGACTCTGCGGTACTCATGATGAGCCATCTGTTTGCCTCTGCCTCACAGCAGAAACAAAGTGAAAGAGTGCAAATACTTAATCATCCAAACGCAGTGTTGACTGAAGATAAGGGTGTGTTTGTACAACCTCACAGGGAAACAAAGAAGGTTTAATTCCTTTAAAATGATTCATATAAACAGGTTATTGCTTAGCAAGAGCACAACGCTGCACTGACTGCAGCACAGATACAAGGTGTGATAAATCTGCTTATGCAGCAGCCGGGGGTGGTTGGGGAGCTTTGTGCACACCTAACTCAACCCTGGTCTGCAACTCCTCCTGGGCTGGCTCTCTGCGAACGTTCACAGGACTTTCATACAAAGTCCTCAGGCCTGTTTGTCTTCATTTTGACATGCCTTCCTCTTCACCGTGTCTGTGCTTAGGGAACGAGCTTTTAAAAACTACAAAAACAGCTACAAAGTGGAATTGCGTCAATGGATATAAAATATTTTAACATGGCTGATTTAAACTAAACAAAAGGTTATAAACTCACGTGACTCAGGACACAGTTCCGATATAATCTAGAGAAGAATTTCCGCTCCATTTAACCTCTGTTTAATATTTACCAAGTCCCACGTGGATCCTTTCACAGCTTTCAAATAATAAACATCAGGATGTGAAACAGGCTCCAATGAGCAGGGACACTGCAATACATTACATACCAGTTGAATTTAGAATGAGTTTTTTGCTAGATACCTTTAATGTATTTATTTTCTTCAGTATTGAAATGTGTCTGTATCGGACACGTTTTGAATCTAATTTGTAATCGGGTAAAATCAGAGGAGAAAATGTTGGTCAAATAAAGTGATAATTTACTAAACTCAACCTCACCTTTAATATTTAAAGCCAGTGATGCACTGCAAACATAAATAGACAAGTCACTGAAGTTTTACATTCAACGTTGTGCTCATTTTGCTTTAATTGCTAAACAGCCACTTCTGTTAGTTTATTCTATTTTTCTGATCTGAAGAGGTCTGTTAATTAGTCTACACACACAAACCTAACTGTCTCAAGCAGTCTACAGAATAAAGACTTCCTGGTATCCGTCTGATACTTACAGCAGCATTCAGCGCCTGGTCCAGGTCTTCAATGATGTCCGCTTCATCCTCCAAGCCAACGGAGAGGCGGATCAGCGTGTCACTGATCCCCAGCACATCCCTCTCATTTTCTGGCACAGACGCATGGGTCATGATAGCCCTAAATTAAGATGGAAGAATATGTATGAATGAGAACTGTGCATTAAAAACACCACCAGAGTCTAACAGAGATCAGAGCTTTCATAGTTGAGGAAAAAAAAAAGTTTGGTTGTTTGATTGGAAACTTGGTCTTGATCTCTGCTGCCCTCTTGTGATGTTTTACGTTGAATTGCAGTCCTAATTGTATCACTTGAGTGTTGCACAAAAACACTACAAAATGCTTTTTTTGTACAAGAATCTATTTCCAATACTCTGTCTGGAATAAAATATACTCCTCCAAGATACTTACGGATGTTCTGCTAAACTTTCATATCCACCAAGACTTTCTGCTACGGCAAACAGCTAAAAAAAGGGACAACAAAGAACATCTTAAACATATATAAAATAATGAAAGACTTTAAAAAGTAATACATTCTTATGTGAACCTGTTAGATTATTTGTATTACATTCATGCACCTCAACACTTTAATTCTGGGATCATTAGCAGTAATGATTATGCAAAACTTTATCTGAACTAGGGTTGAAATATCTGGCACCACCACAAAATGACCCAAAAATAAATCAAAGGTATCAGAAAAATATTTAAACTTGAGAAAAAAAAGTTTTCCATAAATTACTTTAAGGCTGCAGAGGAAGGTGGTGGCGTGCTCGAGTTTCCCTTTAATGTAGAAGGTAATCATCCCCGGGCAGCCGGTGCACTGTCTCTTCATCACGTCGTACTGAGGGTGGGAGGGCAGGCCTACGACGAGGAAAAACACGAGTCACCAAACCATCAAACCTCCGAAAGACAAGGAGATATGCTTAGGCTTCAATATTTGATTTACAGTTCAGTATAAAGCGGACTCAAAACATGGACAGATTTTACACGAGCCGGAGAAAACAATTAAAAAAAAACAAGGACAGTCATTTTAAAAGACTGGGTGTGTAAGCAGAGGAGGTCAAAGTTTATGTGTCAAAGGGCCAAAACATTCAGTATGTGAGGATGAGCTTTAACTGATAGCAGTATTGTCACTAATGATTGCACAACACCAGTGTGACATGTTTAACCACATGCTGATGCAGTGAGCCACCTTTATTTGGTCACTATGGATTACCAAAGGAAAACGGCAACTATTATGTGTTTTTCTTTATGCAGCCATGCAGTCACGCAATACAACACCTCCATGTTTAACAGGTCAAACAGACTTTTTGTCATCTATAAAAGTTCCATTTTGATCCTGGCTGCAGAGAAAACTACTTCCCAAACAGATTGTGTAGTTTTAATGATCTATTGGGGCAGCAAAGAGAGAGACAGTGCCCATTTTGGGGATTAGAGGTGTTTTCTTTGCATGGCTGCCACATATTTAAATACTGTTTATTGATGTTTTGAAGGTAGACCTACATTTTACGAGAAGCACTTCAAGTTGCTTATCAGTTGTTTTTTTGACCTATAAACTACACGCACCATGACCACTGAGTGATTTGTGTTACTCAACTACTGCTGAAGATAATTAATTTAATTTTCTTCAATTTGCACGACTTGATTGTGGATTTGTCTTGTCCAAACTAGCAGTCTATTTTGAGTTGTGATACTCTTTCCCAAAACAAGACGACTTGATGCCTTTTTTTTACAATTCTGCACTTTGGACTACTTTAAACAAGGGCAGCTGTAATCAACACTGAAAATGACTAAAACCTGAATTTACAGAGTAATATCATAAAGGGGATGCTTAATTCATATTAAAGCCAAGAGCCAGCTGTTGTGCATAATTATCAAACCTACAGTTGTAAAGCAGGTTGAAAGGAGAGAAAGGTCACAGTCCCACAGTTTACTGGCATCAACATCAGAGTAAAGTGGAGAGACGAGCGCCAAATAATTTAATCACATGGATAAAGGTCAATATGTGAGAAGATGAAAGGTTTGCTTTACAAGCTCGCTTTAGTTTCGCCTTAAAATGATTCCTGAAAATCCAAGAGTTAAGTCAGATCATCTGGACCGTTGCTTTTTTTTTTGTTGCCGTTGAGACGTTTCGTCCTTCATCCAAAGGACTTCATCAGTCCGAGGAGCCACAACAAACTCAGTCCCACAAGCAGCACATTCTCATAGTGGACCAACCATTTTGGTTGGTGATAAGATGGTTTCTGGGACCAGCACTCTCCCCCATTGACTTCTCTGAGGCAGCCAAACTGGTTCAAAACATCAAAGTTCATGCTCAATAATCCAGGTAAAAAAATCCAACAAAGTTCAGTCAGGTCATCATGACGGTTTCTTTCTTTTTTGTTGACCTGACTGAACTTTGTTGAATTTTTTTTTTTTTTTTGCCTGGCTCATTGAGCATGAACTTTGAAATTCTTGAAAATTCTTTCAAAACGAATGTTAAATTTTAAAGGAAGGAGGTTGAATGCACACATGAGCAGGACTGTTCTGCAGAGATTTTTTTTTATTTTTTAATCAGAACATAAAACACAAATTTATTTTATTACTAGAGAACAGAAGCTTTCTTTCAGACCCTGTACAATAAAATGATATATCATGCACAAGGCAGCTGTATAATGTAGCACAGCAATGTCTCTACAAAACAACAGTTTACCTGGGAAGAGGACACGTTCCACTCGGGGGTCAGCCTCTAGAAACTTAGCAGCAGCCATAGCATTCTTGAAGTGCTGCTCCATGCGCAAATGTAGCGTCTTCAGTCCACGATTACATAAGTAGCAGTCAAAAGGAGACGGTACAGCCCCGAGGGCTACACAAAGGAGAGATAAACAGAAAAACAATAAATAAATAAAGAAGGTTAAAAACAAACCCTCCAAAAACCCAGACAAACAGAATCCTGATCAGTCCCCTCCAACTGAACAGGTTTATCTTGGTTATGAGCTTTGGCCTCTGGAGCACGTGTTGGTTGTTTACTGGATGAATGTTGGGCAAGTTCAAACAGCTCGTTTACCAAAAACTGTGCATACAGATTGTGGCATAACGGAAACAGAAAAGAAACCGCAAACTGGTGTTGGCACATATTCCCAATAATGAGACGATTTTAGTATTAGTCACTCGTGCTGCTAGGAATTACATTTTTGCCATAACCACTTGTTGTTTACTCACAGTTCTGCAGAAACCTTAGTCGCTCATGCAGATCATCCCTGTTCACCGAGACCATACCCATCACAACGTCACTGTGACCTGAACAGATAAAACCAAGAACAGTTCAAATAACGAGGCTGTTGAGGTTGAAACACAACGTCAAGGTTGGGTTTTTCACAAAAGCCTGACAGAGCTAGATTTGAATATTTCAAAGTGTGTTGCAATTTATAAGTGATTGAAATGTAACGACTAAAACCATGTTTTGTTATAGGTTATGTTTTTACTTAAAGGAACAGTTCACAGCTAGTTATCCATACATAAGACCCAACATAAACCTGATCTTTAAACACATCTTGTTTAAATTGGGGTGTCAAGACATTTTTGCTGCTTCCACTGAATTATATATCGTGTTCCTTTAGTGTCATGCATTCTGTTTTTGAAAGGCAGCAGCTTATTAATGCCAGCAGAGAAATAAAATGACATATTTCAGACAAGCTAGGCGTACTCAGCAGCCACAATGATTGACAAGTAAATCAGAACGTCTTAAAACTTCTGAGTATAATTGTCTTAACAATTGTGACAAAATGTATTGTACACTTTATAGTTTAGGTGTACTCTCTTTGCACCATTGTTTGTTTAAAAGAAATGTTTTATTGACAGACAAGTGATAAACTCTTGATTATAACTTTAAGCCTTTTGCCCCATTGTAAAATACAAAACTTTGACTGTTAAGTTTATATACCGGACCGGTAATTAAACATTTTGTTTTATTTTCTTACCTTTCATACAAAAAAATTAACACATCTAATACAAGTTATACTCTTATTGCCTGGATTTACTCAACAATGTTGTATTTTTTCAGTACTTTTACGTCATCCTCTACAGTAATATGTTTGTATAAAAGTAAAAGCGGTGTTAATAAAATAAGAAAACATATATAACCTACCGTTCATATATTTGGTGGCTGAATACATGCAGATATCAGCTCCCAAAGCCAAGGGGCGCTGAGGGTGCACAAGACAAACGCACGAGTTAATCATTGAACAGGTCCTTCACACATGAACTGGAATCTGAGGGCAGGAAACAATTAAACCACTGTTTCGAAACCTAAAGAGCACAACAATGCATCACCTGGAAATACGCTGACATGAAGGTGTTGTCCACCACCACTACTATGTCTTTGTTGTGCTCATGCACCAACTCAGAACAGGCCTTGATGTCCACGACCTTCATCATAGGGTTGGTTGGACTTTCCATCCACACCAACTGTATGAGAGGAAAAAGATCATGTGTTGAATGAGGCGTGAGTCAAACACATTCCAGCTTTACAACGGGTGTTTTACATGTAATTAAAAGGGCGGGTGTTACACACTGACCCAGCTCGCTTTGAGTGAGCAGAAAGAAAAAGACACAGTCGATAACAGAAGTTGCAACAAGAGGCCAAAACAGACAACACAGCAGTTTGTTTTTCATTCTTTGTTCTTATCATTCGTTTCCTTGACCTACCTTGGTGTTGGGCTTCAGAGCAGCTTTCAGCAGCTCCGGCTTTGTGAAATCAGTTAGAGTTACATCCAGACCAACTTCAGCTGCGATTCTTTGGAAGTAGCGGTTTGTGCCTTTTTAAAAATGAGAGTAAGACTCGGTTAGCACCATTCAATCTGCTTACTGTAGGTGATTTTACAACATGCGCAAAAAGGCCTAGCCGTCCCAACAGATGATCTGTAGCGTGAGAACACATCTCACAGCTGGGAGTCTCACCTCCATACACATCGTCCATGCAGATGACCCCTTCACCTCCCTTGAGAAGGTGGGTGATGTTCACCGTGGCTGCGAGCCCTGAGGCGAAAGCAAGAGCTGCAGGGGTGGAGGAGGAAAAGCACAAAGGTGGATGAAGTTTCAAGATTTGTCATTAGCTATCAATCGGATGAAAGTCAAACAAAAACGTGAAGCAGTTTTCAAACATCTAGTTCACTTACAGTACTTTGCTCCATCCAGCGCTGCCACAGCCTTCTCAAGACAGTTTCTGGTAGGGTTTCCACTCCGGCTGTATTCAAAGCCCTGAAGGGGAAAGAGATTTTTGTTTTAAAACGTTATAACTATCTTGGTCACCAAAACTATTAATTCATTTGTGCATGTTTGCTGACCAAACAAGTGTGTGATACCTGCTCCAAATCCTAACCAAACACTTGGGACTTTTATAACAGAACTGTTCAAAAGAATAGGTCAAGTCTGAAATTGTGTCCTCTGTGACGAAGTACATCAAGTGACTGTTGATAAAAATCCTTAATCAGAGATGCACAAGTTTGTCTAAACAGCATCATATACTGTACTGCCATGCTATACTACAGTGTTTGAATTCTTCCCTGTGGTATAAGATAGATAGTAACTGTGACTCAAAGTGAGAAAAGCCACCTGGAACAACAAACTTATCTAAAACATATGAAGACCTGGGTCCCTCCAGTTTTAGGACCTTGTTTGGTTTGTACCAATCATTTACCAGTTCACAGAAGGCCTTGGAAATACATGAAGGAAATACAAAACCTTTTTACAAAACGTCTACTAAAAAGATGGTTAGGTAATGAGAAAAACGAATTAATTAAATCCATTTTTTTTGGTGATAACAGATAATAGCAACAGGGTGATTTCTACAGTGAAAGGCAGTAAAAAAACAAATAAACTTCATTTGATAATGCTATCTAGCTAACTCCCATTGATTTCTCTATCAGCAGTGTAAAAAAAACATTTAACTACCATAATAGTTTTGAGTGGGGGCTATTTTTAAGACATTTTTCAAAGTTTACTTATTTTTGCAGCTAATTTTGTAGGATGTTACCGGCTCACCCCCCACCCCCCCACAAAAAAAAAAAAAAAAAAAAATCCTATCGGGCTACTTACTGTGTGGTTTCCCGGTGAGTGCTGCTTGAAGGTGGTGGACAGGGATATCGGCGGGACCACAGCCATGGACGTCCACTGCTCCGGCTCCTGGCCAACGTGTATGGCATCCGTGGCGAAGGATTTGAAAGCCGTGCGGAAGCCGGCAAACCCTTCGCTGGGCTCGTCTCGTTTGTTCGTCCGCTCCATCACTGCGCGCGCGCCGCTCCAAATTAGCCGGTTCACAGTCTGTGTGCTGAAGCTGACGGTAAAGGGAAATACTTTTTAATAGGGCTGATGGGAAGGGCGGCCCTCTCAGCCAATCAGCGCTTACCAACAAGCCGGAGGCTTCTGTCATTGGCTGTTGATCAGGGGGCGTCCACTTCCGTGTTACGACAACACGCTGTTTGCGTTCCTCCTCCTCCTAAGTGCTGCGTCTGATGCAACGAGTTATCTTGTTTCAGGCAGGGACGGGACTTATATCAAGGGTTATTTTTGTGTACTAAGAAATTAGTTCTGACATGTGATTCCACACTTAACTTTTATTTATTAATTATTTTAACCTAATAATCTGTAGAGTTTTAAGGTCACTGCATTAAAGCAAGTCGAGAAAGAACCTCGAAATCTAATCAGAAAGTATAATTTTAGCAGCAGCTGCCACTGGTATGCTGCCTCATGTAAAAGTTGGGTGCATTGCATTGTTCATGTCTTGCAGCAGGCAAAGATAACTCAGACTGCATTTCCCTTCTTGAACTACAGGGGGTGGAAGTGCTTTGTAGATAGTGAAATTTGCAGGACAGATTCTCAAGTAGTATGCTGTTTTAATTTATTTCCCTTTTAGAGTACATAACATGGCAGCAATATTGTGAGAGGATCATAGTTTTGTTCTTCCCAGTGAGCATTGATTATCATTTAAAAATAAGATTTCGATTTTTTTAAACTGAGTCAGTAACCAGATGTTTCTATTCAATTTCAAAATGCTGCTCCTGTCTTAAAATTTTAAAATAATTCATTTATTATCATTCTGTCTTGTCTTTTCCTCATTCTTTGTGTATTTGCATGTATTAATCCCAAATGTATTTCGAATTTTTAGTATTTTATATCGCTTCATTGTTTCATTTTTTAATATAATTTTCTTCAATTTGTTTTTGAATTTATATGCTTTTTTTGATTGTCTGCTGTTGTCTATTATTGTCATTCTTTTGTTAAAACAGGTCTCTCTTGTAAATGAGTCCTCGAGGCTCAATGAGACTAACATGTATAAAAAGGTTGAATGAATGAAAAAATGTATCCCCTAGTTTTGACTAAACAGTTTTGTTGTAAATGTCAAAATCATTATATTAGAGCAAATTATACCCTATTAATATCTAAATTCAGAAAAATTATTATTGCTATGTGCACTTTTAGATTCTCAAAATCCTAATTATATTTTTGCGTTATATTACTGAAATCAGTTTTAAATCCAAGTAATTTATTATAAACCACTATAGAATATTTATAGTTACAGATATAACTTATGGTGTCATATTGTGCATTTTAAGTGATGACTAATCTATATAAAAACTACCTTTTTTTAATAAAACATTAAACGTTCAAAAAAATGCTGTATTAAATTTAAATACACATATAGAAGTATTTCATTTAATAACTGGGACCCTGTGTACATAATTTCTTCCCACCTCATGTACCGCATGAGATGGTAATGACAATAAAATTTGCTTGAACTTGAACTTGAATCTCAACTTTCATCAAAGGCAATGAGAAAATGTCTAAACAAAAGAAAAATCTTTATATTATTACCAGTCTGTCTTCAGTGTCACAGTGTTTATGACATCCTTGTAATACAGAAAAATAATTTCAATGGATTCATTTCCTGATAAAATAAAGGTTTAAATAAAAAAATAAACTATTGTTTTCCTTTCCCGATTTCTGTTTTGATATTTTGACCTATAATCTAACATTTCATTCCATTTGTTTCATTAAAAATGTGTGCCTCTGCTGCAAATCTCTGAATTCACCCAAATTTTGCTATTTGTTTTATACAAAACAAAACCAAAAAAAGTAATGTAAGATTTCCACATTAATTTTGTACATATTTTATACATATTAGGATCAAAATGTAACAAATGTAATTGGTATGATATAATTTAACACGAAAAAGAAATTATGTCAATATGTATTGAAATAGAATACTTCTGTGTGTAAACTGACATGTTTTTCCTGACGTATTGAAAGCAAAAGAGCCCTCAGGTCCAGATGATCTTTGTTTAGCAAATGGACTGAAAAATACCACCCATGAGTGTGCACAAAAAGCCTCATAACATCAGTTTTCTTGGCAGACAACAGTTTTTGCAAGAACACACTATGGCGCATCTGAAAAGGCTGCAGGGCAACACTTGATACTATTCAAGGAGGTTGTTTAACAGGTAAAGTCCACAAGTTTTAGATAAACATGTATGAATTTAATGTTTCTAGGTGAAACAAAATTGCAATGTCTGTGGCTCAAAATGTTTTGTTTGAAAAGCTGGTGCAGGAAGAACAACCTTCACATCAATATAAAGAAGACGAAGGAGATGGTCGTGGACTTCAGATGGAACAAACACAC